CATATATACTTTATATGCTTTCGTATTTGGGATTCATACCAGCTTTGTCTAACACATCATCCAAGAAAGATATTCAGATTTTTCTCTGGCCTTAAAGGAAGTTTATAAGAGACTTAGCAGAAATCTCGTGTATTCCATTATATTGTTGAAATACGAAAAACAGTGTTGGAACTATTTTTTTTCTACAGGTCTTTCGACAAGTATCCATTTGGTTTAATCTCGCCTCCCGTAAAAATGTTATTGGTGACTTGTCAAGCACAATTAATGAGGTATTTGATTAATGGGGTCAGATTTGATCTGTTATGGAGAAGAAAGTCTTTGGTTTCTCCAATTTTCTTATGTAATTAACGAATGTTCATCTCCCTCTACGTTCTTGCAGGGTCAGTCTTACAAATTTGTACTACATGTTTATCAAATTGCTACAAGGCTTGGCAGTTCTAGAATCAGGATTAATGAGCTTTCAGGTGGAATGCATTTTAACTTGGTTGTCATAGAAAACTTGAGACCATAATGGTTCTGCTAATCTCTACTTTACCACTTGCAGTCTGCTCTGGTATCACTTGTCACAAAAATGGCAATTGATCATCCATACCATAGCAACCATACTATGTTTCAGGTTATGCAGAACATGTTACATTATTCGCAAGTGGCTTTGACTATCTACTTTGAAGTTACGTGTCTAAATGCTGGATATATTTCTCCATATTTTTCTTTTAATTTTGGTTCTATCTTCTGGCTTTGGCAAATGGTGACCAAATCAAGGATAACCAACGCAGTAAAAATTCTTTCATGGTTGATATATCACATTATCATGGGTCTTCTTATGCATCATAGACCATTTTACCTGGTTACTATCAGCAAATCATGATTTTAAACAACTGGTAGATATCTACATCAAGCTTGCAGAGTTTGAAACGAGGAGAGAGGTCTGATAATTCTAGCACAGTGGAAATGTTTTGTTATGCTGTTTGCTGAACCCAAATAACAATTGAACTCTTTCCTTTGAAGGATACTTGTAGGTAGTATTATCAAGAGAAATCCGTAATATGAATAATTAGAACTTGTAAGCACACCAATTTTTAATTAAAATGCATTCTTATGGAGACACATAATGCACCTGTGTCATGTGGTGGTTGCACCACCAGTGTATACAAACGATAACTAAGATGACCAAGAAGACTGCAAATAAAATTATGATAAGAAGCTCAAGATGAGCGTTCTTATGGTTCCCTTCATTTTCCAGTTCCTCAGACATTGTTTGTGAGAACAAAAAGTTTTTACTTTCTCAATAGTATTTATAAAAGATAACAAGAATTGTGAGAATGTTAGCTAGGGTCGTATAAGATCGTACTAAGAATGTCAGTTGAAAATAAAATTTTCATGTCACATTCACAAAGAAAAGACATGAGGAAAAAGAAGTCATGTATTATATATCTAGAAAATAAACTTTTTAAGTGGTTTTACCAGCGGTTTGGAGTTGTCGAAAAGAAGTATAGACCAGAATTTCTTGAATCACATGGCATGTCAGAATTTCTTGAATCACATGACATGTTAGAATCCCGCTTTTCACTAAACTCAGTTTATTCATTGTTACATAAAAGCCCATTTATTTTATAATGTACATCAATTTGCCCCAGTCAAACCAGTTTTTGTGATTAATAATACCCCAACTCACCATCATTACGTATATATAAGCCATTATATAAAGTATAGACCATCAACTCGCCGGAGAGAAGAAATCAAACTTTGATTACCCACCAAGCGAATCACATGCGAACGAAACAGTGCATTGAGTCTCCAGAGCTTCCTCAGTTGATACGTCACTCCCAAGTTTATGTTTTATGAAACCAAATCAAATGAATTTGAGAAAACGGAACTTTTTTCTTGTAGGTTGATCATCGTTTACTTGGATGACATATTGTCTAGTTAATCTCTAGAATCTTTTTAATTTTGAGCTTCTAGAATTACTGCATCAGAAGAAACTAACATAGTGTTGCTCAATATCTCATAAATCCGGCATTGAATCGACCACTCACCAATAACATTATCACTCAAGTGTCTTCAAACTCAGGGTCGTGCCTAATGAAGAAAAGAAAAGGCATTTGCATAGAGCCCCCAAAATATATAAAATTTTAGTGGTTTTAGTGAGTAAGTTTCATTCAAGGAACATGGTTTCAATTTTTGGGTTATATTTTTTTTTTTTTTAGAAATCTAACTCTTAAAGCTAAAAAAATCATAATTAAAAAGAAATCGAATGCAAATTTTGTTAGTTTATAAATGCAAAAATTATGTACTAAAAAAGAAAGAGAAAAATTATAACTTAGACTTTTTAGATTATTGTTTACCGTTTTGTTTTAAATATTGTATATCGTTGAAAAATATATATGTTAAAAAGCCTCTATTTTTTAGTTCGCTCCAAGCCCCTACTGACATGAGCACGACACTGTCTGCAAAGCTTGGAAATGAGACAGAGGGTTCGAGATGCAAAGGCAAAAAAGAATACTGATATATTGTTATAATATAGTAAGGTTTTTTCAAACCAAACTTTTGAGAGGCTTTCATGTGTCACCTACTCTTTTTCACATGTGTC